AATACCAGAAAGCCATTCATGTAATTTACCATTTTAATGGAAAACATAGGAAAAATCCTTCTCTGGATGCAGAAAAAAGTATTTTATAACATGCAATGCTCATTTATGACATTTACTTGGAATAAACTGGGAGCAGAAGGAAACTTTAATAATCTACCCCAGCCTGTAATAAACATCATACTAAAGGTGAAACTTCGGAAACTTTACCCTAAAAGAAAAAGACATTGATAATGCTCATTATCACTACTATTTAACAGCGTAGAGAAGACCTTAGCCCAGAGTTTATCAAGCCTGGCTATGATCCCTCCTTTCAGGAACATTTGGGAATATGAGTGGTGTTTTCTATGTTAATAATGATTAGAAAGTGCTTCTGGCATTTAGCTCATGGGACAGGGTATAGCGGATAGGCTGGCATGGATACTAAACATCCTGTGCTGCTTGGAGTAGTTTCATACAAATAATTATCTGCCCATTATGGCAATAGCACCCTTGTTGAGGAGAGACAGTGCAGCAAGATAAGAGAAAAATGGAGGCATGGCGATGAGAAAGAAGCAGCAAAACTATCATTATATGCACACATGCTCACTTCGAAAATCAAATAAATTATCAGAACTAAAAAGAGAGTTCAACAAGAAGTCAACATAGATCAGTCACTTTCCTATATGACAGCAATATCCAATTAGAAAACATTGTTGAGGCCAGGTGCAGTGGCTCACACCTGTAATCCCAGCACTTTGGGAGGCCAGGGCAGGAGGATTGATTGAGGCCAGGAGTTTAAGACCAACTTGGATAACATAGTGAGACCTCCATTTCTACAAAAGAAGAATTAGCTGAGTGTGGTGGTACACACCTGTGGTCCTAGCTACTCAGGAGGCTGAAGCAGGATTGCTTGAGCCCAGGGGTTCAAGGTTACAGTGTACAGTGAACTATAATCTTGCCACTGTACTCCCACCTAGGCAACAGAGTGTGACTCTGTCTCAAAAAAAAAAAAAAAAAGAAAGAAAGAAAGAAAGAAAGAAAGAAAGAAAGAAAAAAAAGAAAAGAAAGAAAAGAGAAGGAAAAGAAGATGAAAGAAAGAAAAAGAAAAGAAACATTATTCACCTGAGATCAGGTGTTCAAGACCAGCCTGGCCAATATGGTGAAACCCCGTCTCTACTAAAAATACAAAGAAATTAGCTGGGCATGGTGGCGTTTGCCTGTAGTCCCAGCTACTCAGGAGGCTGAGGCAGGAGAATCACTCCAACCCAGGAGGCGGAGGTTTCAGTGAGCCAAGATTGTACCACTGCACTCCAGCCTAGGTGACAGAGCAAGACTCTGCCAAAAAAAATTTATTGAAAAAAATTACATTCATTTATTTGTTTTAGAGATGTAGTCTCACTCTGTTGCCCAGGTTGAGGTGTAGTAATGTGATTATAGCTCACTGCAGCCTCAAACCCTATGGCTCAAGTGATCCTTTCACCCCACCCTCCCAAGTAGCTAGGGCCACAGGTCCACATCACCATGCCAGGCTAATTAAAAAAATATATTTTTTTGTGGAGATGGGGTTTCACTATGTTGCCCAGGCTGGTCTCCAATTCTTGGACTTAGAAATTCTCCTGTCTCAGCCTCCAAAAGTGCTGGGATTATAGGTGAGCCACCGCACTTGGCTGAAAAAAATTACATGCACAATAGCAATGAATAACAAAGTGCCTAGGGAATCACTTAACAAAAACGTGTGCAAGGGATTTATGTTGAAAATTATAAATTATTCTTTAAGCACGTAAACAAAGATTTGATGAAAAGAGAGAACATATTTATCAATGGGAAACTCAGGCTTGAAGAGATAAGACTTCTCCCTCAAATAATTTATACCTTCAAGTAGTTCTAATCCAGATTCCCACTCTCAATATAACTATGCCTGGGTAAATTAGCACTTTTCATCTTCTCTTCCCAGAAATTTTACAAAAGTAACAACAACAATACTCCCACAAACTCCATTTTCAGTAAAACTAAAAATATATGTAATTCACGAACCACTAAATATTTGTAAGGACTGCAAAAAGCAGCTGAGATTGGGCAGATGCAATGTGGGAGGAAGTGAAGCATGCACCATGGGAGAGGAACCATCAGGGGATCTCAGAAGGCAGGAGCAAAAATATACTTCTGAGGGTAAATTAAGCAATATCCAGAATTAAAAATGATCATATTTTGTGATGTAGCTGCTAGACTCTAGCATTTCTACTTCTAAGAATCCTAGAGAAGCTCACATATGGTACAATGAGACCAGTACAAGGATGTTTGTTGCAACATTATGTATGATCAAAAAATTAAAAGCAATCTAAATGTCATTTGAGAAGATAGATAGCTTAAATTGTAATAAAGCCTTACAGTGGAAGAAGGAAACCAGATCTGTATACATCAGTACAGCTAGGCTTCCAAAACAAAGATGAGTTAAAAAAGCAAGTTGCAGAATGGTTATAGTACAATACCATGTATATAAATATTAAATAAACAGTACTGTGTCTTGCTTCTATATAATTCATTTTTGGTTCATATTTGTTTTTACTAGAGAGGAAGTATAGTATAGTGCACAAAAATATAATGTTCAGACTGCCATGTGCAAGTTACTTAACCTTTTAGCCCTTCAGTCTCTTTATTTGTAAAACAGGCATAATTATGTTTACATGATAGGGATTTGTTGAAGATTGAATGCATTAGAAAAGTGCTTGGCATAATACAAGTGCTTAAATAGCCGGCGCAGTGGCTCACGCCTGTAATCCCAACACTTTGGGAGGCCGAGGTGGGCAGATCACCTGAGGTCAGGAGTTCGAGATCACCCTGGCCAACATGGTGAAACCCCATCTCTACTAAAAATACAAAAAAAATGAGCCGGGCATGGTAGCAGGTGCCTGCAATCCCAGCTACTAGGGAGGCTAAGGCAGGAGAATCACTTGAACTCGGGAAGCGGAGGTTGCAGTGAGCCGGGATTGCACCATTGCACTCCAGCTTGGGTGACAAGAGCGAGACTTCGTCTCAAAAAAAAAAAAAAAGTGCTGGGCATAATAAAAGTGCTTAAGTAATGTTAGATTTCATTATTATTATAATTCATAGACACATAAATTTGTATATAAAATGTTAAGATTGAATGGAAATCCACAAATTCAATTTTTGTGTTTACTTTGGGAAATGGGAGAAGGCAATGGGACTCAATGTGGTAGTTAAAAGGTACATCGGCTTTATTTATAATGTTTCAATTTTTTATTAAAAAATGTAAAGTATATATGACAAAATGTGTACAGTTGTTAAGTCTGCATACTTATGGTATGATTTTCATAGTTATTTTTAAAATTACTAAAGAAAATGCCATGCAAGACCCACAAAATAATATGTAGATACATATATATACATATATACACATACATATATATGTTGTTTTGTATACAGATTTATTTACTTCTTTATACATCTATAAAAGTAAAAAGATGAGCTGGTAGTATTCCTCTTCACTAAATGCATCATTGTGACTGCCTCTGGGAAGGTGATCAGAATGAGGAAGCAGAGTACAGAGCTTTAGCCTTCTCTATAATACCCTAATTTTATTTTATTTTATTTTATTTATTTTTTGAGATGGAGTCTCGCTCTGTCCCCCAGGCTGGAGTGCAGTGGTGCGATCTCGGCTCACTGCAACCTCCACCTCCCGGGTTCAAGCCATTCTTCTGCCTCAGTCTCCCGAGTAGCTGGGATTACAGGCGCCTGCCACCACACCTGGCTAATACCCTAATATTAAAAACAAGAGATTGTGAATTCATATATTACTTATTTGCTTTCTAAAAGCATAAACATTACAAAAGATCTGAAATAAGACAAAAATCTTAGGCATGCCCTACTGTACATGGTAAAAATATGACTTGTGACTTATTTCCTTGGATTTTTCTGTATAATTATATTTTTTAATGAAAATAAAACAAAGGTTGACTTATTGTGGTTCAGTGATCAAACAGGAAACTTGTTCCAGCCTCCCTTTCCTTTACTTGCTTTTGCAAGGCCACATTTAGAGGTGCTAGGTACCTAAGTGTGCTGGCATCCTCAAAACTTGATCCAGGGAGGCATACCTAGGTTTAGGTCTCAGCCAGTGCCTCGGAGCTGGTCAGGAAACATATCCAGCTGTCCCTATCCTCCTGCCTGACCTACGGGTATTGTGTCTTCGAATGCCTAAAGTTGGAGGTAAGAGATAGCCCTAAATTGTACATGCACTGTGGGGACAAAACCCAAAGATGGTGAATTCTCAGCTAGTGATTAGTGTCTTCATTTTCTGTTACTTTTTAAAAACAGTATTTGGCCAAGTGGCTCACACCTGTAATCCCAGCACTTTGAGAGGCTCAGGCAGGAGAATTGCTTGAACCCAGGAGTTTGAGACCAGCCTGGGCAACATGGTGAAACCTTGTCTCTACAAAAAAATCAAAATAAATTAGCCAGGTGTGGTGGCACATGCCAGTAGTCCCAGCTACTTGAGAGGCTGAGGTGGGGGGATCATTTGTGCCGGGGAGGTCAAGGCCGCAGTGAGCTGTAATCATACCGTTCTACTCCAGCCTGGGCAACAGAGTGAGACCCTGACTCAAAAAAAACATGTATTTTTCACCTTTATCCAACAAATTCCCTACCCCATATTTTTCCCACCTCTGGAGTCTGAAAACGCCTTGTATTTCAGTATGTAAATTTGTTTATTACAGAGCATTCCACGATGTGATTATTCAGTAGTCCCTTAATATTCTTCAAATGCATTCCAGCATCTTACATGCAACTAAAATGTCTTATGGTGCAATTACTAACAAGAGGCAGTGAGGCACAGATAACACAAGCTGTGAGGCACATCTAGAGGCTGTTCCCTAATGTCATGTTATCCTGTCATGGCCCTCACATTTAGAGAAGAGGAAAGGAACTGACAGGGAGTTAATTATATACTGGGGGGGGGTGTGTGGGTTGGCCCACTTGTTCCTAAGCTGTGCTGCTTCATCCTGCAGGTCGGGGTCTCCCAGCAGGACAAGCTGAGGTGGAGATGATAGAAAGAGCCCGCGAGAAGCGTGCTTGGGAAGCCACTCTCCCCGCTCTGAGTGACACCTCCCAGTTTGAGAAGAGGAGGAAGATGATGAATGAAATGGAGAGGAAGGAGTGGGCCTTCAGAGAGCAGGAGATTGAAAAGTAGGTTCTCTGTCACCCAGGCAACTGTTCCTGTACTGGTGGGAATAATGTTAATACTTTATATCTGCAGAGCATTCTCCCGAATGTATGGGTTGAAAAGCAATCCTCAACATATAGAGATAGGAAATTGGGCTTCCGCTTCTTTCAGGAGCAGTCACATGCTTCTGAGGTGGTCCAGAAGCTCTGTATACTCTTCTCTCCAATAACATACAAATGTAGAATGCCCTCTGTGTGTGTGAAGAAGGTCAGCATGGAACCCAGGTTTGAACAACTCCTGAAGGGCATCTCTGATTCTTCTCTTCCCTTTTCTCTTTAGTAGCTATCTTAACTGTCACAGAATCCCACTAATTTCTGCAAAGCACCTTTCAAACTGTCCCTTCATGTTCATTCCCAGTGCCACTGTCCCAGTCCCTGGGCTTTCTATGTATCCCTTCAAACAGCCTTGGCACTAGTCCTAGCTCTTACCCACTGCCCCCCCATTCCACCCCCAAGACACTGTATTCACAGTCAGGATGCCTTGCGTTCTAGCTAGAGCTGATGGGGCATTTCCTATTCAAAAGACAAATTATGGAATTCTTCCATTAAGAGATGAGTTTATATAACAATATACATAAATAACAATATGCTGAGGTACTTGTGGTTGGATTTTGAATTATTTTAACTGATGTATTTACAGCAATGGAGTTGTTGCTGATATGTGGAAATGATAAGAGATTATGAGAACCAAAAAATTATAACTCTCTAGCAAGAACAAAGGAAGGGCGTTTGCTGAGTTTGTCCTTTGTGCTAGGCTGTGCTGACGTACTTTATTGTTCATAGCAATGCTACCAAGGACCCTTACACACAAGAGAGGGACCCAGAGAGTTAGAGACTCAGCTTGGTGCTAAATTTGGAATATGTTAATTTTTTCCAACACCTTCAGATTAAGCCTGAATCTAGGCTTTGGGATGTTTTGATAAAAGCTTGCAATTTAATTTAAAAAATAGTGTTTGGGGTAAAGTAGGTGTCAAATACTCAATCCTGTTGGCAGAAATTTGAATTTATTATTGTACTTTGGAAAGATATGTGTCTTTTCAAAAGGCATTGAAACTATTAAAAATGTATCTGGCCAGAGTGAAGGCGTCACCTGAGAAAGCGAGTACATTTGTTAAACTGAGGGCAATTTTGATACATGTATTTTGAGTCCCTTTTACCTGCTAGGCTCTGTGCTGTGAGTTGGGAAAATAGGGATGAATAGGAAACTGCTCTTCCTCACAGAGCTCCTTATGGTCCACTGGGGCAGGGGGAGCAGGGAAGGTGGACAAGGATGGGACAAAAGATCTTAGACCAGCCCCTCTTGGGCTGTGCCTATCAGGTGATGTGCTGTTCTGTACAAAAAGTGCTTGGTGGAACCCAGGTGAAAAAACAGTTAGTTCTATTTAAGGTGGGTGATTTGAGAAAGAAAACTACTAAGAGGAGGTAGCTTCTGAGCTGGGTTTTGAAGGGTAGGTAAGAAGCCATCAGGCAGATAGTAATATCAGACAGTCATATCAGAAACTATCAGGTAGACCAATACTTCAGAGGTGTTGGTCTGAGATCTTTTGCACCATCTCTTTGCCCATCTTCCTGCCCCTTCCTGCCCCAGTGAATTATAAGGAGCTCTGTCAATAATATCAGATTGACGATGATAATGATGATGATGACGATTAGTTGACTATAAGGAGCTCTGTCAATATCAGATGATAAGTGAATGGTAAGGAGCTCTGTCAATAATAATAATAACAATAATAATAATATGGTGATGAGTGGATTATAAGGAGTTCTGTCAATGATATCAGATGAAGAAGAAGATATCTATAGAGCATGGAACACTTATAGAGGGCTTACTACCTACCAGATGACGCTCTAAGCATATAGATCTCAAAGTGTGGTCCACAGACCAGCAGCATCAACATTACCTTAGAACTTGGTAGAAATGCAGGTGATCAGGCCCCATCCCAGGACCTACTGAATCAGGGGTTGGGACCCAGCAATCCATATCAGAACCTGTGCTCTAGATTATGCTGCACTCTGAAATTTGAGACTACTGTTAGAGCACTTTGTGTATACATTAACTCACTTAATGCTCACAACTTCATGAAGAGGGTACTATTATTCCCTCCACTTTACCATTGAAGAGATTGAGGTCAGTGGTGACACGGAAAATTGAACCTAGCATTTCTAACTCTAGAGAGAAAAGTGACTGGGGTGTGTGGCTTAGTTTTAAAAATGCCTACCTCTCCAGTGCGCTGAGATCACGCCACTGCACTCCAGCCTGGGCGACAGAGCGAGACTCCGTCTCTCTCTCTCTCTCTCACACACACACACACACAAAGCCTACCACTCCATTCTCATTTGTCACTACACTCTCACCCCTCTCAAGTGCATTCACTCTGAGAAACCCTGCCTGTGTGACATCTTGTTCTCCCTCCAGTCCTTTAGAGTTGAACATTCAGCTTCCCCTGCTGAGGCCCTGCTTTTCCCTTGTCAATGTGGCAAATCCCAATCCTGAGTTTACAGCTCTTCTAAGGAAGGCTTCCCCACCTGTTCCCTCTTTTCCCCCTGCCCTATCCTTTCTTCTTCCAGGAAGAGTTTTCACTCTTCTAGCCTAGTATGTATCTCCTTGTGCTGGAAATGTTGGTTCATATGCCTATTCCGCCGGAACAGTGCTTGTTGAGAGAAGGTGTTTTGTCTTGTACATTGTTGTTCCTGCCTGGCATATGGTGGGCACTTAATAAATATTTGGCAAATGAGTAAGTGAATAAATTCAGGTATGAATTTCTAAGCAGGAGTAAAATGTATGTTCAAATCTCTGTTTTAGGAAGGAAAACCTTGACAGCTGGGTGGAGCAAAGATTGGAAGGAGGACAGACTAGCAGCTAGGAGTCCATGTTAGGAGTGAGATGACCAGACATGAGCTAGGGAATACAAGAAGCACTTACGAGGAGAGATCTTTAGCAGCGGGAAGAAGGTGTAAGAGGGGCAGACTTCTGGGGGAACAAATGAGTAGGGTTTTGTTTTGTTTTTTTAATTGTCAAGGGGCAGCTGGAGATTCAAATAGATGGAAATTCTGGTTCAGAAATATCTAAGCTGGGCTGGACGTGGTGGCTCACGCCTGTAATCCCAGCACTTTGGGAGGCCAAGGTGGGATCACTTGAGGCCAGGGGTTCGAGACCAGCCCGGCCAATGTAGTGAAACCCCATCTGTACTAAAAATACAAAAATTAGCCAGGTGTGTTGGTGGGCGCCTGTAGTCCCAGCTACTCGGGAGGCTGAAGCATGAAAACCGCCTGAACCTAGGAGGCAGAGGCTGCAGTGAGTTTAGATCAGGCGACTGCACTCCAGCCTGGGCAACAGAGCGAGACTCTGTCTCAGAAGAAAAGAAAGAAAGAAAAAAGAAATATCTAAGCTGGAGGTACAGATTACACAGTCATCTGTGCATTGTTGGATGCACATGAGCAAGGTAGCCCAAGGAGAACAAGTTGAAGGTAGGGGGAAAAGAAACAAAGATTTGTTGAGTACCTATTATATGCCAGGCACTGGCATTTTTACCTCATTCCTTAGGACAGCATGCCAGAACCACATTTCCTCTTCACTCCCCCTATTACGTAACCCTCCAGGAATACCACTCGACCTGGCACTGTGCACAAACCTCTTACTGTTCCTTTAGGCCCATCTGCCTAGAGAGCCCTTCTTTTACCCCATCTGCCTGGCATACTCTTCTTCATCCTTGAGAACTACACCCATATATATTCCTATTATATAGAGAGTCTCTATTGAGTGCCACCCCCACGCCCTGAATTCATCTGTCATACTTTTGCCAGAGTGGTCTTTTGACAATACGTGAACATGATACCAGCCCACAGAGAAGAGCTGGTCTGTGGCAGCCGTTCCCTTCCTCTCCGTTTGAGATGCCATATGCTTCTTTATGTTTTGTAATTTACTTGAAGACTGCAGGAGATTCGCCTGGAAGTTCTAAAAGAGCTGTTGAGGAAGCGTGAAGAGAATCAGAATGAAGTGAATATGAAGCACTTGAATGCACGGTGGTCTAAACTGCAGGAGGCAAAAGAGGCAAAAATGGCAACAATTCAGCGCACACATGTATCAAGTAATGGTGTAGTATGAACAATGAAGACAGTGGAAAAGTGGGCTTTGCTTTGGATCTTTGACCAAACCTGACTTAACTATGATATAATTCTGTTTTGGTCCTGGGAATCACATAGGTAAGGGCTGAGAGATGAGTTATTTCTTAAAGGTAGAAGAGTGGAGGAAATTCCCTTACTAAGAAAATCAAGTGATGGTGTCCTAACAGGTAATCAAGTTATTGAGATAATGTGTGTGTGTGTGTGTGTGTGTGTGTGTGTGTATGTGTATGTGTGTGTCTGTATGTATGTGTGGTGGGATAGGTGTTAGGTTCCCCATATTCATGGTCCACAGCCCTGGATAAAGAGCCCTGTTTCTTACCCTTTTTTCATTTTGCCCTTAAAGGTGACGTTTTAGACATCCTTTTTCCTAATCACCTTGCCACAAGAAATTTTAATACCACATATATAACATATGTATGTTTACGTACTATATGTATATCTATACTTTATACATTAAAAGAGGAAGTATATGGTTTATTATTTTTATTCAGTGCAAGATTAAGAATGACTGAATTAAAGATTCAAGTTAAATTTATATTTTAAAAATTTAAGGCCAAGAGAGGTAGCTCACGCCTGCAATTCCAGCACTTTGGGAGGCTGAGGTGGGAGGATTGCTTAAGGCTAGAAGTTCAAGACCAGCCTGAACAACATAGTGAGACCCCATCTCTACAAATTTTTTTAAAACTTAGCCAGATGTGGTGGTACACATCTGTAGTCATAGCTACTTGGAGCTGAGGTTCCAGGATGGCTTAAGCCCAGGAGCTCAAGACTACAGTGAGTTATGATTGTACCACTGCACTCCAGCCTGGGTGATGTAGACCTTGTCTCAAAATAAATAAATAAATGGTATCAATTACATGTGCAGACTATATATGCACTCATTCACAATATAATCACATTTTAAAAAATCATTCAAAATTTTTTTCTAACAAAAATAAAAAATCACAAAACAAATTATTGCTTACAATTATGTTTAGTGAACTTAAATTTTAACTTTTTCTTGATGTGAGAAAAGAGCACTTAACTGCCAGATATTTATTTAGATATGATCAACATTTTTTTCAGTACTTGGCATAACTAATGATAGATCTGACTTTTGTAGGCAAATAATAAAATTTAAATCATTTTTACTTAATTCTAAAACCCAAGTCACACCCAAAAGTGCTGAGGATCAAACATAAACAACATCCCCAAGACAGCAGTGGCACACAGGCCCCCTCTGGCAGCATGACGTCACGATCTTGTGATAAGATTTTTACCCCCGTTGAAAGTGCACAATGTAGAGCCACCAAAGGGGCTTGGGTCTGTGATGGGATCTGAGAGAAAAGGAGCACAGGAGGTGGTGAGCGTGACTCTTTAGATGAGTGTACTCCTCATGTGCACAGTTGAGCCTTTCCCTCTGACTGCCAAAAAACTGTAAGCTGGGACAGTCTTTGGTTTATTTTGGTGTTAACCAAGATGAACCTATAGTCTTTGCTTTTGATTATTCTTGTAAGGGAGAATAATTCCCTAGTTCCCCCACTGAACATGTATTTTCCAGTTGCTTTGAGTTTCATTCATTTAACAAACTTTTACTGAATACCTCTTCTTGGCCTAGAGTTTGAAATGCAATTATAAAATATTTTTGACGAGTACCGATTGAGGGCACTAGCTGATTCTGCTTCTGTGACTCCTGCCTGTCTCATGACAATCTGGGCCACACAGATGGCAGACCTCTGTTTTTAGTGTTACATTCTGGCTGTCGTGAGTCATCATGAAATTCATTCATTTCAATAGCTTCTCTGTGAATAACACTAGAATTGGCTTACTCTTCTGCATTTGTATAATTCAGAGCAATATTTTGGAGATAGTCATGGAGGTATGTTTTATTTTAGCAATCAGAAAACTTGTAGGAAAGGGAAAGAACATAGAAGGGAAGTTGGAGAGAAGAAATATCATCAAGGATTATTCTGATTATGCATCACAAGTCTATGGACCTCTGTCTCGTCTTGGGTGTTTCCCAGACAATAACTCAGAGGACTTTGTAGTAAAAAACTACTATCTCAACACCTATGAAGGTAAGCAATTTACATAATTGGAAATCCGCTATAAGAGGGTTATCTCAGAAATATGAGCAAATATACAAAATGTAGAAATTTAGATTAAAAGCTAAGCAATAAAAATATCAGCAATAAACACTGATGAACAGGTTTAACATTATTAACGTGAGTTCATACAAACCAATAAAAACTGCTAAGACCCAAATAAATAAATAGACACACTATAGAACACACAAATAGACACACTATAGTCCTTGCTATAGAACAATTCAGCAAGGACTAAATTCAGTTAGCTACTAAATGTTAAAAAATGTTTAATGTCACTAATAATCAAAGTTATTTAACAATGAAATAGAGAAAACTTTTATACCAGGTTTTTGAAGCAAACAAGAAATATGTATAATGAAATCAACCCTTTATAAAGAAATGTCAAAAAACTAGTGGGCAAGAGGATGGGGAACCAGGGGATAAGTTCATGGAGAGGGCTATACCTCTTATGAAGTTCAAAAAAGGCTTATTTAGTTATTTAATTTCACTGACAAGTTAAAGTATCATGTGGCCAAGATCACGAGTTGCTGGTTACACTGCTGAACTTGTAGCTCTGGCTGGCCATCTCTGGAGCTAAATGTAATAAATTGGTGAACGTCTACTTTAGAAGGGTGGCACCACATATCATAGAATCATTAATTTTCTGTTGATTACTATTATTGAATTGCTACTTTTTTGTAGGGCAATAGTTTCACTTTAGAATGCATTTCTCATTTTACAGTCTAAGTCACTGAGAATATGAGTTAATTATATGGAAATGTGCTAATACATTTCAGGGACACTTCATTCTATTATATGAGATACACCCTCTCAACAATTCTAATGAAACTACTTGGCAAACAGCTACAAAAGTTAACAATATACCTTAAAAATAATAAACGTAAGCACTGGATACTAAAAAACATGTACTTCCTTCTCATAGGATTAGTCGAACTTGAGTCACGTCTCCCAGATTTTGTGACACAACCCCGAATCAGAGCTCCAAAACCTAAAGTCATTACCACCAAAGCTGGTTTTCTGAAGAGGGCAGCAAGGTTGGACTATGAGTTGGCAGAGGTTCATAAGGTATAATCATTATCTGGAGGACAAAATGCTTCTAATGTGATTTTTGCAGATAAATGCTACACTCCAAAAATTGCAGCAATGTCCAGTGGGTCAAACATAGACCTACATTCTCTGCTCTGCAGTTTTCTGAGATTGCCCATGCTCTGCTGAACCAATGTGTGGATTTCCCCTCATTTCACACTTCAGGAAACTTCTTGGAGATTATTTTCCCCATTTGCAGAAATCATATTACTTTCTGAAAGCGTTTTCAACTTGGATCTCTATATAAAATTTGACACTATGCTAAGGTGTAGCAAGTTTCTATTGTTGGTGTTAATAGCTGTAATAGGCCTGATTTTCTCCCTTTTGTGTTCATGTGATTAGGGCATATGAAGAAAAAGAGTTACGTTCAACTCCTTTCTCATCTAGTTAAAGCTCTAAAGGAAAATGTGTGATGGCCTTCCCCAGGATCCGCAGCATGTCATCCACCAGCTGGGCTTTCCCTTTTGGTAGCTGGACTGCAGGTGTACGGAATCTGTGGTTTATGCTGGTGGTACTTACTCTTTCCTGTGCATCAGAATCTCATGGAGGACTTGTTAAGACACATGCAGCTGGGCCCCATCCCCAAAGTTTATGATTGAGTAGGTCTGAGGTAGGGCTGGAGTATTTGCCTTTTTGATAAGTTTCCCGATGATGCTGCTGCTGCTGGTCCAGGAATCACACTTCAAGGCCCACTGGTTTATGATACGCTTTAATCACTGACCCATTCATGTTTGTTCAGTTGATTTTAGTAGTTAATAAAGATTGATGGTAACCTATCCTCAAAACAGGACCTTAACAGTAATTTATGTATATCAAAGTGATTCTTTCTCACCTCATCCCCATTCCCCCATCTCCTTTTACCCATCCTGAATGCTGTGTTCATCATTCTCTCACTTTCTATTAAGATTTTTTATAGATTCTTTTTATTAAGTTATGGAAGTTCCTTTCTATTCTTAATTTACTAAAGCCTTTAATCATGTGTTTATGTTGAATTTTATCAAATGTTTATCTCTATCACACAATTTTTATACAGGTTATTTTTTAAATTATTGTAGCAACATTTATAATTGTTTACAAATGCTAATCTATCCTTGCATGCCTGGAAAGAACCTGCCTTGGTCAAAGCATACAGCTTATTTTCAATACCTTGTTGGATTTGGTTTACTCATATGTTGATTAGGATTTTGCTTCTACATTCATGAGTGAAATGGCCTTCTTGTTTTTCTTTCTCATTTTGACTATGTATGGGGTTGGTGTTATAATTATGCAGGTCTCCTGAAATTAACTGAGGAATATTCCTTCCTTTTTCTTTTTTGGGATGAGTTTAAATAAGATTGGGATGATCTGTTCCTTCAGTTTGGTAGACTATGCATATGAAATTATCTGGGACTAATGTTTTCTTCATAGGAAAAATTTTAACCACTATTTCAATTTCTTTACAACTTGTAGAACTCTTCTGAATTACTTTTGGTAAATTTTTTTTTAAATAAATTCCATTTCACCTACCTTTTCAATTTTTTTTGGCATATGATTACTGATAGTATTGTTTTATAATCTTTTAAATGTTTGTTTTATCTTATGTCTACTTTTTTCATTTACAATATTGTTTATTTATGCCTTAACTCTTTTCCTTAATCAGGTTTACTGAAGGCTTGCTTATTTTCTTAATATTTATGTTTCCAAACAATGAACTTTTGATTTTGTTATTTCCTGTATTATATGTTTTTTTAATCATATTAATTTCTACTCCTATATTTATTCTATATTTCTTTCTACTTTCTTAGGGTTTGTTTCACAGGTCTTTTCTTAAATTGCACATGTAGCTCATCAGTTTCAGGCATTCATCTGTTTTATATAAGTATTTTAGGTTAAACATTTCCTTCAAAATGCTGACTTTTGTTACATTTCATTAGTTTTGATATGTAGTATTTGTCATTCTTAATATCTAATATCAAAAAAACCATTATAATTTTTTAATCTGTGAGTATTTAATAGTGTGTTTTAAAATTTCCAAATATGCAGGAATTTTAACTCATTTTCTCATTAACCTCTAACTCAATTGCGTTGTAATCAGAGGTCATAGTCTGTGTGGTACCTATCCTTTGAAATTTCATGAGGCTTGCTTTGTGGACCAGTGTATGATTATACATATAAAATAATAAAATACACCTTCAAATAACACAATGCCACTTCATGGGTAGAGCGGACACCTTAGAGCAGATTATTCCCAACTCCTTCTTCCCATCCCTGTGATGTTCCTGTCATTCATTTCACTCGTCCAAATGCTATAATCAGATTATAATGCTATAATCATTTTACTTTTATTGCTTTAGTTAGCAGTTATCTTTTAGATCAATTAAAAATAAGAAAAAACAATATAATTTATTCCTTCTCTTCTGCTCTTCTTATACTTATATTGATCTAAGTTTTTGATCTATTCCATTTTTCACCTGCCTGCAGAACTTTTTTTTTAAAAATCATTTCTTGCAGGGAAGGTCTGCTGGCCACGAATTCCTTCAGTCTTTGTTTGCCTGCTTTATTTTGGGGAGCGGGGGGAATGTAATTCGCATACAATAAAATCACCCTTTTAAAATATATAATTCAGTAGTTTTTAGCATATTCACAAGTCTGTGCAACCATCACCACCATCTAATTCCAGAATATTTTCATCATCCCCAAAACAAACCCCAGGCCTAATAGTGCTCAATTCCAATTCCCGCTTCCCCTCAGCCCCTGGCAACCACTTTCCTTTTTTCTTTTTTGGCGGAGTCTCTCTCAGTCGCCCAGGCTGGAGTGCAGTGGCGCGATCTTGGCTCACTGCCAGCTCTGCCTCCTGGGTTCACGCCATTCTCCTGCCTCAGCCTCCCAAGTAGCTGGGACTACAGGCACCCGCCACCAAACCCGGCTAGTTTTTTTGTATTTTTAGTAGAGACGGGGTTTCACCGTGTTAGCCAGAATGGTCTCGATCTACTGACATCGTGATCCACCCACCTTAGCCTCCCAAAGTGCTGGGATTACAGGCGTGAGCCACTGTGCCCGGCCTATTCTACTTTCTTTTTATGGATTTGCTGATTCTGGACATTTCATATACATGGAATCATGCAGTATGTGGCCTTTTGAATCTGGCTTCTTTCACTTAGCATAGCATTTTTAAGGTTCATCCAGGTTTTAATACATCTCAGTACTTCATTCTTTTTTTATGATTATGTAACATTCCATTGTGTGGATATACCACATTTTATTTCTCTACTCATCATTTGATGATGAATCCACCAAGAATATAACCATGTTTAGTCAGTGGGTAACTTTTTTTTTTTTTTTTTTTTTGAGATGGAGTTTCGCTCTTGTTGCCCAGCCTGGAGTGCACTGGCGCGATCTTAGCTCATTGCAACTTCTGCCTCCCAGGTTCAAGTGATTCTCCTGCCTCAGCCTCCCGAGTAGCTGGGATTACAGGCATGCACCACTATGCCTGGCTAATTCTGTATTTTTAGTGGAGACAGAGTTTCTGTTGGTCAGGCTGGTTGGTTAACGTATTTTTAGGAATATCTAGCACCTCTTGGGAGATACACACATTCTTGGTAGTGTTTCTCAAACTGACCTAGCATCACCATAGAGAATATTAATATTCTGATTAATATTTATATCTGTGACCTAGATCTGGTAATGAAGGAAAATATAGGGTACAATATACGTTATTCAGGTGATGGGTATGCTAAAAGCCTAGATTTCACCATTATGTAATATATTCATGTAAAAAACTGCACTTTTACCCCGTAAATTTATGCAAATTTTTGTTAAAAAAATAAGAGATTCTATTAATTGGCATTATTTCAGGCACTGTTGGATAAGAAGAACAAAGTTCTTGAAGCCAGGAAACCCCCTCGCTTCCTTCAGAGAAACCCAATACCTCAACCTCGGCTTCCAACTCCAACCTTGGAAATGACTTCCAATGTAAGTTGCAAACTTTTTAGTTGAAATGTTAAATTCAATATCGTTGTCAGCTTATTCTTAGGATATTTTAGCTTAAAGCAAATCTAATTTAGCATTGTTAGTTTCCCAAGCTCTAACTTAAATATTGTCTTTATTCTTATGTAGCAAACATCAGACACACACAAAAACAAACGAGATGAAATGAAATCTAAACCCAGTTCTTTTCAAAAATAAAAACACAATTTAAAAAATCTTTCCATGAAAAATCAGCATCAGAAGGTAGTGCTCATGTATATGAAATAGAAAAAGAAGATTGAGTGATGATCAGTTACCATAACTATCTTCCCATATGGAGAGATGGCTGATGACTGTTGGAGTCGAAGAGGAACGAAATGCCAGAGGTGTCATCAAGATAGGCTTGCTTCTGGGGTGGGAATGACTCAAAGGGCCTGCCCAGGGCCACATCTTACCAGACTCAATTTGAGCAAGGTAGCAGAGTTGGTTAGGATTTAGAGGACTGACTCAGACTAAACAAATCCACAGGAAACTGTTAGAGATGCCATGTTGCAAATTTATTACTTTACGGAGAGAACCATAACTGCCTACTAGATCAGGCTATTCCTCTTGGCCAGTCAGCACATTATCTCTCAATATAGGACAGTCCTCACAAGAAGCCAAATTGTATTCAGAAGGCTGGTGTGTTTCTTGGCTGAGGGCAGGTGTTGGTGGGAGACCACACTAACCCCTGTTACTGCCTCTGATGAGTGGCTCCTGCAGAGGGACCAGAAAGCTCCCACCAGCCGGCTGGGATGTGCTGCTGGGTAACATTCTCTTTTCTAGACTTTGCGCAGGCCTTTGGTTGACAGATTGTCTTTTTTTTTTTGGAGACAGAATCTCGCTCTGTCACCTAGGCTGGAGTGCAGTGGTACAATCTTGACTCACTGCAGCCTCTGCCTCCTGGGTTCAAGCGATTCTCTTGCCTCAGCCTCATGAGTAGCTGGGACTACAGGTGTGTGTCATCACGCCCAGCTAATTTTTGTAGCTTTAGGAAAGATGGGGTGTTGCCACGTTGGCCAGACTGGTCTCAAACTCCTGACCTCAGGTGATCCACCTGCCCCAGCCTCCTGAAGTGCTAGGATCACAGACATGAGCCACTGCACTCAGCCTGACACATTGTCTTTCATGTGTGTTAATGTCATCGATTAGACTGCTGTTTTCTTTTTACATTCAAAGGAACCTTAATTAGATTTCCAGACCTTGCTTTTTCTGCTTTGGACACACAGTTTTTAAGATGATTTTTATATATGGTTAACCTTGTCTCTTATATTCTGATTTTATCAGCATAGCTGAATTCTTGTAAGAAGTACTTTACTCTGACAATAGACTAGGTGTATTTTTGTCTACTGATGATCAAATGTGAAAAATCCTATTGCAAAAATGATGTTATCAGCAATACTTGTTGCTTCAAGAAAGATTTTGTTGGAAAGGAATATAAAGAAATGAAAGTGGCTTCATTTGTAGGGATAGCATGGCAGGGCATGAATTTTTTGCTTGTAATATGGTTTGTTAATGATGAAAATAATGAATTTTAATGTAAGTAACATTAAAATAGTATATGTTCAATAAGGGCAGGGACCATGTTTTATTTCTCTTTAAATCTTTTCGGCATCTGGCACAGTCTGTTTTGCTTGAAATAAGTCTTCAAAAGAATATTTGATGCTTGGACTACTGCAGTTCTCAAGCTGCTTGGTTCTCCCTTTGTTCTTTTAGGAAGAAGAAGAAATAGAAATGGCTGTGATCTACCTTCAAAAGTTACTCCGGGGCAGAGTCGTTCAGAACATGGTGTGTAGGTCCAACTGCTGGCCCTGCGTTTCTCTTTTGAGAATAATTTTTTTAGAATGCATATGTGCTTGGTTCCTTGGAGTGAATTCCCTTTTGCACCCTGCTATCCTATTCAGCTAAACTCTTAAATTGACTACCCATTTCCTTCTGGTGTCCCATTTCCTTCTGGTGACATCGTTTGTCCAGGTGGGTGGCACAGTGTCAAGGAGAAAGGCAGGAAGGACCTACCTGCTATTTGCCATGGTTGTAACTAAGGCAGTGTGAAACTGACTTCTTCCTTGAAATTGTTAAATCCGTACATTTTCTCACCTGAATTTTGGCTATTTAAGCATTATCAACTAGGTGGATTCCCTAATTTTTAACATAGTCATAATACAATTATTTGAGTTTGCGTATGTCTGGTGATACCTACATTATAAATGAAATAGCTAAATAATGAACTATGGTTTTGAACCCTTACTATATGCCCACACTATTTATTCTTTGCACTACATGTATTGTCTCATTTTTTTTCCTATCCATAATCTCATTTTACAGGCAAGTAATATGAGTCTGAGGGAGATATAGTTATCTGCCAGCAAATTCCGCTCTGGTCTTCCTGACTGTAAAGCCTCAGCCAGATTATTTGTGTTGCTGGAGCAGGCACACTTCACGTAAAAAATGGACTGATATAAAGCCCCAGTTAATTTTTTTCCCCAGACAGCTATAACTCATAAGAGATTCAGATATGATGAGTAACTCAACTGGATGAATAACTTATGTTTAGCACTGTTCGTTACTCTCCTTTCAGTATTTTCCCAAGAGAAATGCCACAGTTAAATTCGGACAACAGATTATCACAAACCAGGGACAGATTTATTGGAAAAGGAAATATGGCCATGAAAAATGCCATCCTCAGGTTTATTATCGAAGGAGCACAGGAAATGAGGGGAAGGTTCTGGTTTCTTAATATGACCCTAGAGTTGTCATCTTGTCCTTGAGAGGTATTGTCAGAAACTAAGTACAGCTCACTGAAAACTATGCCCATTCTCTGCCTGAGAAGCTGAAGGCACAGAAAAGAGGGCTGAACTCTAGCTCTGTGGGACACATCCGCTCTGTGGAACCCAAAAGGCAGGACAGAACCCACTGTTCACAAGTGTCTCACAAATCACTGCGTGTGACTCCTAGTGCTTGGCACAAAGGGATGGTAACTTATAGGTCTCTCTTTGATTTGATTTGATTTGATTTGATTTGATACAGATGTTTGAAGGGAAAGAAAAGCGACTGGAGTTGATCCAGGAGTTGCGCACCTGCCACGCACTACAAGAAGATGAAAAGCTGGTGAAAAAAGCCGAGAAGCAAGTGACCCTGGCCTTACAGCGGCAGAGGAACTTACATGAGCACAAGGTTTTCTTTTTTTTTTCTTGTTACTTGTTAAATTTTCTCCCTTGATTTTATCATGGCACAGCAACATTCTAATAAAAATTCATGAAATGGTGAAAAAGAAACAGCCCCACAATCCCATCACTCTGTGAGCTTTGTGTGTGTGTGTGTGTGTGTGTGTGTGTGTGTGACGGAGTTTCACTCTATCGCCCAGGCTGAAGTGCAGTGACGCAGTCTTGGCTCACTGCAACCTCTGCTTCATGGGTTCAAGTGATTCTCCTGCCTCAGTCTCCCGAGCTGGGACTACAGGCATGCACCACCACGCCTGGCTAATTTTCATATTCTTAGTAGAGACGGGGTTTCACCGTGTTGGCCAGGCTGGTCTCAAACTCCTGACTTCAGGTGATCCACCCGCTTCAGCCTCCCCAAGTGCTGGGATTACATGCCTGAGCCACTATGCCCAGCCATTCCTGTGCTATTTCAAAGATTGTTGTTAATGACTTCAAAGTTATGAAAAGATTAAAAAATACCAAGGTTTTCTACTTTCATGTTATTCAAGATCTTAACTCCTAACTTGTGTGAAAGGAAAGATATTGAAAAATTAACAGGTATCACGAGTGAATTTCTAGGAGATTCAATTTGATTAAACTCCAATATTATCTTTAATAAAAACTTGACATTTCCCTTCATGTCTGGGAAGACACACTTTACCTTGTCGATAAAATTGAAAGGAAAAAAAAAACCATTCTCTATGGTCACTAACAAAAACGTCTTGCTAAATTCTCTTGCTTATTTGAGGGCTGTGGTCCATCAGTGACTGACCAAACAATTGACTTTCTTATGCCTCCGTTTTCCTCATAAGAACCTGGGATGGAGTCAATCGAGAGGTAATATTCCCAATAAAAATTAAATGCATTCTGAAAGTGAATTGACTGCCAAGAGTTTTGAGTAATCCGGTGCCTCTTCTAATAATCACCACTCATAGTGGAATTTGTGGCCTTAAAGTTATGTTATTCTTTTCAAGGTGTCACTGGTTGAAAACCATTTGGCTGGACTGGAAGGAAGGGCACTGGCAGACATGTTTGACTTCCTGTCCAAAGAGCTGGTGAGACTGCAGGAGGAGAGGAGGATCCATGCCTTTGTCATGCTGGCCGAGCGCCAGCGGCGGATACGAGAGGCTGAAGAGAGTGGTCGGCGCCAGGTGGAAAAACAGCGCCTGCGGGAGGAGGACGAGATATTTAAGGAGGCAAGTAGGGGCAGCTGGGTGTATGGAAGCTGCCTAGAAGGAGCCAAGTCAAACCAAAGGATGCTCATAACGTAAAATGGCATTTGGCTTTTGTTTATGCATTGGGTTCCTACTGTATGGCAGGCACTCTACAAAGGCGTTGTGGGAAACTTTGGAGGGGAAAAAAACCCGGACACGATCCCTTCTCTCCTAAAGCTTAGATAACACATAATACGCACCTGTGTATAGAATTAGAAAATGTATTGAGCTCCATGAAGGAAACAAATAGAGCCCAGAGACACATTTTAAGCCGGTTACTCCACTTGCTGTGTGGAGCACAGGCTGGAGGGAGGACAGAGGGGGGAACAAGGCGGCCAGGAAGTAGCTGTTGAAGTAGTGAAGGCCCGAGTGAGACACAGGAAGTCGAGTATTATGTCCAGTGTCAGGCTTAAGCAACTGGAAGATGATGGTATTATTTCCTGAGGTAGGAAAGTTGAGAGAGGAATAAGCGTAGGGGCAGGAGAAGAATCAGGAAATCAATTTATATTTAGTTTGGGATATCTAAGCAGAGGTATTGTTTCAGTAGGTGGATCTACAAGATGGAATTTAGAAACGAGGTTTTGGCTGAAGATGTAAATTTGGGAGTTGGTGACCAGCTTGTAGCCTCCTACCAATCTTAACACACTTTTCTTCAAAAAGGGTTACTGAGATTTAGAAATTATTGGCAAATCAGGCCGGGCGCGGTGGCTCAAGCCTGTAATCCCAGTACTTTGGGAGGCCGAGACGGGTGGATCACGAGGTCAGGAGATGGAGACCATCCTGGCTAACATGGTGAAACCCCGTCTCTACTAAAAAAATACAAAAAAACTAGCCGGGCGACGTGGTGGGCGCCTGTAGTCCCAACTACTCGGGAGGCTGAGGCAGGAGAACGGCGTGAACCCGGGAGGCGGAGCTTGCAGTGAGCTGAGATCCGGCCACTGCACTCCAGCCTGGGCGACAGAGCAAGACTCCGTCTCAAAAAAAAAAGAAATTATTGGCAAATCAGAACTTGCCATCTCTATCTAATATCACTAAGGAAGAACCATCTGGGGATGGGAAGAATAGCTGGGGGTGAGAATAAGAAGCAATGGAACCGAGGAGCTACTATACACAAAAGCAGAGAAAGGAAGAAGCTGGTAAAAAGCTTCTTAGGAAGACATCTTCTAAATGGGAATGATGGCAGAAAACATCAGCTCTGTCTAGCAAGGGCAAGAAAGGGTTAAGATAGCCCTTCTAGCCTGATTTAAGAATCACTTAGGTAAAAAATGTACCCACTGTGGATCCACAGATTCAAATATCATCCATCATTTTAATTCCCAACCTTCCTAATTAAAATATAATGACTATTTTCCATCCTATTTCCCCAACCTCCATTCAAACAGATTCTCTTGAAGAGAAATATGCTTGCACATAAATTATAAAACAGAAATGTAATATTTAATAAATTTCCAAAATATAGCATATAGACAGAAACACAGATATAAAGTCATAGACTCATCTTTAAATACATATACAATTTTGCAGGCACATACATAAGGACATATTTATAAATATCTGGTGTGCACAATATTAGCAAGACATAGAGGAACACACATAGCCACACGTTTCCTTATTCATGTACATACACGCACAAATGTGTCCAGAAATTTACACATTTATAAAGATATACATAAACACACAGGTACATATATGGCTATGGATGGACCGTAGTAAACTTTCCACCTCTCTACTATTACATGACTGAGCTGTCTAATTGATCCATATAGATGCAACTTGCTTCCTGAATAAGAGGGTGGGCTCTATGAGAGCATGAATATTGTATATTCCGTTTGTGCCTTGCACAACACAGCATAGATCCCTGTACCTAATAGACCTTCAGCAGATATATTTTGGTTGATTAGTTGTTTGGTTGATACTGTATTCAACTGGCCATTGAGAGTCTCCCATAGAGAAGGATTGAAGGTTGATGTTTTACACATAGGTGTACAGTATCATATACTCAGAATTGTGCCAAAGTGCCAATCCAGAAACAGGTACTGAATTGTTACTGAGTCCCAGGCATTATCTCAGATACAAAGATATATTTAGACATGAAACAGAAAAGTGCCCTACCTCTAAGAAGCTGATAATCAGCATACATATACACGCAAAACTAAGTATGCCACAGTTGTTGCTTAATCTTTCTATGTGCATACACCTGTAAAACGGGAAAAACCAAACTACTTTGCTTATGGTTACATACTTAGGGAGCAAAAATATAGAGAAAACAAAGTGTTTACCATGAAAGTGGGAAGGTGCTGTAGTAAAGGAAGAAACCATGGTGGCCTTCTAAGATACTGGCAGTTACTATAGTACATGGGTTCTGACTTTACCCTAATTCATTACACTGTACATTTATGTGCTCTGTCCTTTTTATTTTGTTTTATTTTTCTAATCTCTGAGTTTGCTTCCAATGCACTTTTAAAATCTGTATCCTATTTCATGATATCAAGTAAGCTTTAAAAAGAAGCAGTCAAGGGCTGGTATGATAATTCAATAAATTCATTAGAGACCCAGGATCCTTCTAGCTTTCTGCTCTTCTCTTCCTAAGTCGTAGCCCTTCTGGCAATTTAAGATGATTGCTGGTGTTCCAGCATTATGTCCTCATGAAAGGAGAAATGAAGAGAGAAAAAAAGAAGCCAGGTCTTTCCCTTTAAGAATCCTTTCTTTGGTCAGAATGTGGTCATATGGCCAATCCAGCTCCTGTGGGTGCTAGGAAATGTAGTCTTTATTCTAGGCACCTGTTTGCCTAGCTGAAATCCAGGGGTTCTATTATGTAAGAGGAAGGAGGAAAAGGATACTGGAGAATACCTCCTTGTCTGTTCTTCTGTTAGGTAGTTTGACCAAATCACGTTGCTGGTAAGAACAAAGCCAGGATTTGAACCAGCATTATTGACTCTGAAGCCCATGATCCTTCAGCAATGCTGTCTTGCCCCCCCCACCCAATAAGATCCATAATTCTGATATGGGCTAAATGGGTGTGGGCTGCCCAGAATGAGTAGGCAGGTGGATGAGGAATAGACTGATGAGATGCTAAAGAAAATGAATGATGAGTGAAGGGACTGTTGACTTAATAAATGAAATATATGAGCTAAAAAAAGTTAACCCAATGTTTGTGTATTTTTCTTGTGTTGTTTACAACAGCATATCTGTTTTAGTGAGGGTATTATTGTATTTTGCAGGTAGTTAAAGTTCACCATAGTACTATAAGCTCCTACCTAGAAGACATAATACTGAATACTGAAGCGAATACTGCAGAAGAACAAGCCAGGGCAGAAATAGAGAAGATGGCTGAGAAAATCAATGACATTGCTTATGAAATGGAAAGCCGGTGTGTATCAAGAGAACAGATTGTAGAATGGACAGCCTATTTGCTGATACTCATATATATTTTTTCAAGAGCTTACAATTTCACCACCAAGGAGAAACAAATAACTCATACTTCAGGGTCCATTGTTTTATTAACATAACTCCTGAGAAGCCAATATGCGTGTACCTCTGTATGTATTCTCAGTTATGCTCTGCAATCTGGATTACTCTCATTACTTACTTTAAGAATACTCGGAAGCATAAAAACAATGTGAATACGTGTGTGCAACATTACTGGGACTTCATCCCAAGGTTTCTGGCTTCTATGTATAAGCTGTGTTTCCAACATTCTCTTCCTGGCAGGCAGGGTAACTGAAGGACAGGGTCAAATCCAAATTTTTTTTATGGAGTTAAACAAACTTGCCAGGAATGTGATATTTCAGATCACTTAATCAAGGAAAAGGTGATGTTGGGATTTGAATGGAGTTGCTTACACAGCAGGAAAGCATAAATCAGCAGCTCAAGTAAAAAAACCAAAGAAATAATTCAATTTGTTTTATATTTTTTAGCCGAACCTATCTTCAGTCAGAGGAGATTGTTGCTGAGTTGGTTTATAGTTTTCTGATCCCAGAGGTGCAAAAATACTTTGTCAAAGAAAAAGGTAAGCCAATGTAAATGCTTTACTTTAGGATTTTTAAAATATGTAACTTATTTTCAATATCCCAGAGATTTAAAATTAAACAGAGGGATGGGGAAATTTCTGAAGGAGGATCACTGAGTTTTCTTATTTCAGAGTTTGTCAGGTTCTCTTCATGCTACCTGATTCTAGAATATAATCAGCTCTAATACAGATGGGACGTAGTTCTAATAAGAGTGACAATATCAAAATCCAAACCTTGTTTAAAAGGATGTTCCCAAGTTTTCAGAAGAGGTGTATTTTTTATTTTTATTTTTAAAGCATAAAACAGATAATGAGCATATAAAAGATTTTCACATTGTAGCAGCCTTATGGAGGCAGGACACGTGAACCGTGAATACTAAAAAGCAGGGGTGCAGGAAAGGTCTAAATCTACTCTGCTGCTCTGCCTGCACCCCAAATAGCTTGTTTCTGCTGGAATTCCATCCAAGTATAAATATCCTAATTTATCATTTGTCACTGGTGGCATGTTTTTAAAGATTGATGCTTTCAGTCAATAGAGAAAGAGAAAATAATATATTAAACAGAAAAGTAAGATTCTTCCATAGCTCTGAGACTGTTGATGGCAGGCTTGATCCTAGACAGAGGGGAGCAACCAGGAGAAGAACAATATTTAAGTGAAATGGCAGCTCAAAAGCATTGAAAATTATACAGGGGAATTCCAGACAGGTTTAAGCAGAAAAATGCTTAACATTTCAATTTGCTTGACCAGGGATAAAGAAATGGTGGAGTTCTAACACATTTGGAGAGGACAAAGAAATGCCTCATTTTTCCATTGCATGGTTGTAGTGTAATTTTTAAACCAGTACCCCCTAAGGATAAGCATTTAGTTTGTTTCTAGTTTGTTTTCCTGTTACTAACGGTGCTTCAGTCAATATATTTTACACATATCCCGGCATGCTTCTGAGAGTAAATTCCTAACAGTACAATTGCTGGGATATAAGGTATGTGTATTTTACATTTTGATAGATAGTACCAAATTTCCTACAAAAAGATTGTTCTCCCAATTTGATATTACCATATTGCCCCACAAAATGATCGTTGACTTGCATCAATAGCGTATGATAGTGCTTATACAAAAAAATTAATTTTCAGATCAAGTAATATATTTCTGCGTCACATTATGTTACAAAAGGACCTTATGTTTTCTAGGACCTTAAGAAAATATGCAACTCCTTTCCGCTTCTCCTGGGTTCAAAGTGAGGCCAGGCTGCTTCAAAGCCATTACACCCTTGGTTGAATTCCACCCTAGGATTGAAAGAGAGGAGGAAAACAGTGGGTTTAATAATTACTAGTTTGTGGCGAGGCGTGGTGGCTGAAGTCTGTAATCCCAGCACTTTGGGAGTCTGGGGTGGGAAGATCACCTGAATCCAGGAGTTAAGACCAGCCTGAGCAACATAGGGAGACCCAGTTGCTACAAAAAATATTTTAAAATTAGCTAGGTGTGGTGACATGCACCTGTAGTCCCAACTACTTGGGAGACTGAAGTGGGAGGATCACTTAAGCACGGGAGGTGGAGGCTGCAGTGAGCCGAGATTGTGCCACTGCATTCCAGCCTGAACAACAGAGTGAGATCCTGTCTGGAAAAAAAAAAAAAAAAAAAAAAAATTTACTACTTTGTGATCCCCTCTCTCACCTTGGGAGTCTGAGTTGAGGATCTGGAGGAAGACTTGAGTGAAAGGAATCCAGTGGCCCTTATCTGCGGTCAAGTTGTGTGAGTCCCTAGCCTCTTCCCTTTATATTTTTGCCAAATCAAAAGAGCCATATGAACAGGGAGCACACTAGGACCTTTTTTTTCTCTTTTCAAATGAGAACCATATATATTATATATACACTCTTTACCCAAAATTAAGATAATATTACATACAGACGATTTTGAGATATATCACTTTTTAAAAAGCCAATGGATCAGAAAAACGTAAAGTGGATCAAAAAAAGGTAAATTATCTAATGTCTCTGTGTCCATGTTTCTTCTTCTGAGAATGAGGATATTAAAATACTATCTTTTAGGAGGATTAAATGAAGAATTACATGTCAACTGCTTAAAACAGTACCTGGTACAAAGTAAGGACAAATGCTAACTGCTAACATCATCATCATCACTACTCCTTTCCAAGGGCTTAGGTGCTTACCTGATAGTGAATATTCTTAGAATTTGGAGCTAGGACTACCTTCTAAAGCCATGAGCTCATAAACTCATCATCAATCAGTAAGTCCCCTCCACATTAAGAACTAAGGCTCAAAAAGAAGTATAAGACAAGGTCTTTATTTGTAAGTTATTTACACTCTAGGTATCAAACAAAATGTAACTCACATGAAATGCTTCAATGCTGAATAGGTTGGTACAAACTGAAGTGCGGTAAGTGGTAAATCTGGGCTGACGTAGTCAGAGGAGACTTCCTGGAGGATGTTGGACATGAGCTTTCCAGGTTTTGGAGTACAGGCATTCCAGGTGAGGGAAACTGCTGAGGAGTGGAATGGAGGCAAGCCTGGTGGGAAGGAGTATGACTGGGCTGAACCAGAGAGTGGGAACAGAGGGAGCAGAAAGAAATTAGATTTGGGTTGGGTTTACCTTTAGTTTGCAAAATTATTTCTATCATGACTCTCTTGAAACATTTGGGAATGGTTTCGTTCAGACTTTCAGAGTGAAAATTTTTCTATTGCTTTGGCACAGTGAGGAACGCACAGCGGAAACATATTCTTGCAGCCCATCAGATCATCCACAGTTGCACAGAAAGCATGGTTCAAAAGAGATTAACTGAGGGACAGCAAGATGAGGCCTCAAATGCTGCCATGTTACTTGAGAAAGAAATTCAAAATGAGAACAACAGCTAAGGTGAGTTTGATTTTCCACCTGGAAAAAAAAGCAGAGAAAGGAAGAAAAGCAGCATTGTTCAGCTTTGTGCTGTGCTCTAACAATCATAATTGCTGTTTAAGAAATGGAAGATTGTTGTTTAAGAAATGGAGGACTTCTGTTTAAATTGGCACATTTCCTCTAGGTTATAGCATCTACTGTTGAGATTATTAGAAAATTAGAGTTTATATTACAGCAAATAGACTCTTGTGATACAAAAAATAGGACTCTAAATTATTTTTATGGGTTCTTTTAGTGTGTATGTACCTTGTCAAATGAAGCTACAGAATGTGTCAGTGTTATACATTAAAAAAAAACTTGTTCTTATGGAAGTAGACAAGGTATGCCCTAATGCATTGTGCTAGTTGTAAGCATGGCATGAGACACACAGCCTGCCCAATTCTAGCTCAGACACCTTCTGCAGTGCCCACCAGGGGTTGGTCTTGGGCTCAACTAAAGGCTGTCATACTCACAAGACTAACATAGACCATATTTGGCATGAATGTACTTAGAAAAATATAAGACAGGAAACAGCTTCCAGCAAGGCAACATCAGACATTTCTCTTCCTGTAGGAGCCCTTGCCATAGCCATGCAGAAGAACACATAGCTATTTTCTTTAGTCCCTAGTTTATGGAGTGCAGATACAATACAAGGAAAAGAGGTAGGTGGGTGGGCGGGGGTACAGGAGCTGCCCTGGCGTAAAAGTTTCACACCCCAGGGGCCAGAATCTCTTGTAATAATTCCATAGGCATAGCTTCCAGGGTCCCCACCGTGGATTTGCCCGGCTATAAAAGTCAACATACTCACAGAAACTCAAAGCTATGGTTTTCTATTAGGTATTCATTCCTCCCAGTTCAGATGGAATTTGCCGATCAGGGGTCATTTTTAAGTAGTTCAAGTTGCTCAGTAACACAGTTGACACCTATCACCTTATCAGGTTACTAGGAGAATAGTGCTAGGGAGTCAATTAAAACTAAAATTCTCATGAGGAGGGGAATGGAGCGAACTTTTTGCCTATACTTTCTCCCTCAACCCTTTTGTGGTAGAGGCACATCTTCTGCTGTTTTGCCCTGAAGGTATGCCAACCATCAGGTTGGGGAAAGTACCAGGGCTAGGGAGAAATTTTAGTCTGGCACTCAGAAGTTTTGTGTATTGGCCAACTCTGCCACCAATTGTATAATCTTATACAAATAATTTCTCTGCTTCAGTCCTTGGTCCAATAGAATGGAATCTTAAGTCTCAATCAAAAGGAATCATGGAAGGAAGGTTGAGATGAGAGGGAAGGTAAAAAATACTGCAGAGAGAAAGCTAATAAGTGACTCTTAAATATCAAACTGTGGCTGTAAATTACAGCAGAAAAACTTTAGACTTTAATAGTAAAATAACCTCTGAAATAATTGAAAATATAAAACATCTATTACATGTTATGTTATATATTGTCTATAAAATGCAAATTCAAGGACCAAAGCATTTGCCTACCTTATTACTGTGACAAAAGCAAGCCTTAAGGTTGGGGTGGTCATTTTTCTGACGTGGAAATTTAATAAGATTAATAATTTACACAGTTTGCATTGAATGCATCTGCCTTTACTTCTGATTATGATACCTACTCCATGACATCCATAGTGACCTGTGAAATCAAGCCAGAGGAGAACAAAAATTATCTTCTATTTTATACTTAAAGTAAAATGTATTTCATTAAAGCCTATGTAAAGCGTATATGATAATTATAAAATCTACTTGCAAGAAAGTCTAGTTGTCAGGCTAATTACAGACACTCAATAAAGGTGATCAACCAATAAATTAAATGGTTGGAACATGCAGCTTAGCTGTCCCCAAAGCATATCTTCCCTCTTCCTTCTTGCAGAGGGAAGCAGAGAAGGACAGATGTGAGATTATTCAATGATGGCTAGGGAAAGGGGCAGTAGGCATGGACCACTGATTTAAAATACGTATTTAAAAATATGTATTTTTAATTAGCTTGAACAGAGAGCTAATAAATAGTGAAGAATTTCTGGGCCAAGATCTAGGAGAAGATAGAAATTTAGAGGGTTGGGTCTGGCATTTGGAGCTACTTTTTTCCTGGGAGAATATGAAGATTCTAGAAAATGTGGCTGAAAGACTGAGCAGTATTTTTAAAAGCTTTGCAAAACCAGGGGGACAAAAAACTTGAGTCAAGGATGGGGCCCTGGTAAACCTTCTTCATTTGGGTAGGGACTCTAAAAGGCTATGCCCTAGTGGTAAGGGTTGACTGGAAGTAAACTATCCCTGGCGTATAATGTAGTTTAGCTTCTCATCATCTGAGTGATTTTAAAAATCTCAATCCCAAAAATTGAACTTAACGAGGTTCTTGGTTTCTATTGCCTCAAGGAACCTGCCAGAAATAAAACGTAAATTCTCTTTACAGGAAGTTAACATTGTTCTAGACCTCTATTTTCACAATTTCTAGAACACAATCAAGAATATTCAGGTACATGAGGAGACATGACAATCTGAACAAGCGGCAAAAACAACAGATGACAGAAACAGACATAAAAGGATCTAAAATATTGGAGTTGTTAGACCCAGACTTTATTTATTTTTTCCATAAGTTATTGGGGTACAGGTGGTATTTGGTTGCATGAGTAAGTTCTTCAGTGGTGATTTGTGATATTTTGGTGCACCCATCACCAGAGCAGTATACACTGCAACTTATTTGTAGTCTTTTATCCCTCGTCCCCTTCCCACTCTTCCCCCCAAGTCTGCACAGTCCATTGTATCGTTCTTATGCCTTTGTGATTAGACACAGACTTTAAAATAACTATGTTTACTACTGTGGACTTCTATCCTCCAGAACGATGAGAAAATACATTTCTGTTGTTTAAGCCGTCCAGTCTATGTTGTTTTGTCATGGCAGCCCCAGCTGACTAAGACAGATTTTGGTACCAGGAGTCGGGTACTCCTGTAACAACTACCTAAACATGTGGGAGTGGACTTGCCACTGGTTATGGGTAGAAGCTGGAAGAGTTTTGAGGTATATACTATATATATATGGACATCAAGGGTGATTCTGGTGAGTTCTCAGATGGAAATATGGAATATGTTATTAGAAACTAGAGGAAAGGTGACCCTTATTATAAAATGGCAAAGACCTTAACTGAACTGTGCTGTAGTGTTTAATGGAAGGATGAAGTTGCAAGCAATGAAATTAGATATTTAGCTGAGGATATTTCTAAGCAAAGTGTTGAAGGAGCAACTTGGTTCCTCCTGACTGCTTATCGTAAAATGCAAATGGCAAGAGATTAATTGAAGAAGCAATTGTTAAGCAAAAAGAAATCAGAATGTGAAGATTTGGAAAATTCTTAGCCTGTTCATATTGGAAAAAAAGAGAAAGCTCTTTCTGATGGGAATGCTAAGGGTCGGTTAACAGACATTTGATAAGTGTATGGGATTATATGAGCAGAAACATTGCAGGAGGAAATTAAGGAAGCCTATTGATTGGACTTCTTGAATTAGACAGGATGGGATGATAGAACTATTCAGCTGCAAACATGCACTATTCTTCAAGAAGAAGGAAAAATGATTCCACAGGAGATCCAGAGGTCATCAGGGCCATTGTCCCAGTTTCAACAGGCCAGGTGGCTTTCACCATGAGCTTTGGAGGAAGGATCACCCAGTGGACCCCAGCTCATCTGAGCTATGGGGTGGGACCCTGGGTCAGCAGAGCTACAGGGAGCAGACACTTACCTAGAGTCATGGGGATGGGGCACTGTAGAGTCAAAGGGGCAGAGCCATGGGAATGATGCTGCCACCCCAGTGGGCTTAGAAAGCAAGACACTAAGCCAAGGAAGACTATACTCAAGAATTAAGATCCAGTGGAATTTGCTTTGCCAGGTTGTGGACTTGCTTAGGATCCATCACCCATTTCTTTCTTCTGATTTTTCCCTTTTGGAAGGAAATATGTCCCCTATGCCTCTCCCACCATAGTATTTTAGAAGCACATAGTGTGGCTGGTTTCACAGGCTCATAGGTGGAGAATAATTTTGCCTCAGGACAAGTCATATCTTGAGTCTCACCCGTACTTCATTTGGATAATATTTATGAGAATTTGAACTGTAGACTTTAGAGTTGATGTGGGAATGAGTTAAGATTTTTGGTATTGTTGGTGTAGAATGAATGGTGAGGAACATGAATTCTACCTGGGGTAGAATGCTATGATTGAAATGTGTCCCTGAAAATGCATATGTTGAAGCTATAACCCCCAATGTGGTATTTGGAGACAGGACCTTTGGAAGAGAATTAGGGTTAGATAAGGTAATGAGGGCAGAACCCTCATGATGGGGTTATTGCTTTTACAAGAAGAGACATCACAGTGCTTCTCCTCTCCTTCTTCCTCTCTCCCTCTGCCATTCTCCCTCTCTCTCTCTCTTCCTTTCTCCCTCTCTTCCTCCACTTTCAATGTGAAGACACAGTGAGAAGGTGGCCATCTAGATGCCAGAAAGAGAACTTTCAACCAAAACTAACCATGCTGGCGCCTTGATCTTGGACTTGTACCCTCTAGAACTGTGAGAAAAGAAATTTCTGCTGTTTAAGCTATTCAATCTATGGTATTTTGTTATGACAGCCTGAGCTAAGACACTTACTGTGTTCAAAGGGTAAATGCCAATATTGAAAATTTCAAGAGAACTGGACATAATAAAAATGATATAGCATATTTGAAGAAAATAGAAATCCCAGAATTTAAAAATACAGTAGCAAAAATGAGAAACTCAGTGAATCTTTCCTCAGAGATATTTAGAAAGAAGCATGGAAAGACAAAAGGATAGGAATTTATAGAAGAGAGAGAAGGATAGATTTAGAATAACTTAATGATTTAGAAAAGGAGAAAAAGTGAGTAGGTATGGACCACTGATTGAATAAATTTGACTACTAAAGGAAGGAATAATATGTTGGGAGATCATATGGAATATGAATTTTCCAAAAATAATAAAAGAATTGTTTT